TGACGATGATAAAATTATCAAAAGAATAACTACTCAACGATGTATGTATGTATTAAAATATATAAAGTTAATAAGAGTATGTTTATAAAAAATAATTTTATTTTAAAACAAATTTGCTCTAATGTAATTTTTAAATAACAGAATTATTAGGTTTTGCAGATGGCCATAGTAAATTTGTTTATCTCTTTGTTTAGACATATTTATTTAGAAAGAACCGACTATAAACAAACTATAGAATATTATAAAACCCTACAAATTATGAAATTTTAAGATTTAAGAAATATATATATACATTTTATTTATTTATTTATTTTATTTTTTTTTTTTTGCAATAATTCATTATATTTTCGAAATATGATATTTCTACTTTTTAAAAAATGTTCTCCTTTGTTTTGCCGACGGCAATAAACATATATTAAATGCCTGATGAAACCAATATTGGTAATAAAATTACTTTCAGTTTTGTAAATAAAAGACAATAATAAAGTCGCTGAACTTGAAAACTAAAATCTATTTCGTTTTCATGTTTTTTTTCTCAAAGGAAATATGAATAATGGCCGCGCAATTCAAGTTCGCAAAATTGATGGAACCCAAAAACAACGGAAACACGCACACTCACACTCGGGCAAACACAAACACACACACACATGCACGCACACGCAAACACAAAGGGAAGTGAAACAGGAAGGCGGCCATGATTTGCCGACGGCAATTCCCAAAATTCGTCTTCCATGGCGGAGTTTAAGTGAAGAAGAGCAAATGAATTCGAGTGGCGGATGCAAAATAAGAGTGAGATTTCAAATGGCAGCGGGAAGAGAGCAAGACAAGAGAGAGGGAGAGTGTGAGAGTATCTCAACAGTACTGGCAATTTGTCCTTTTTTTGGACAGATATGTCCTGTTATTTTTAATGGTCGTTTAGATATATGTATAAAAACCATGTTTATAAGGAAACTCTTATTAGTTTAATAATAATATTAAAGAGGTTGTAATTATAGAACATTGCAGCACAATTTTAGACAACAAAAATCGAGGCTAAATGCAAAAGTGGTTCTTTTGAGAATAAAAATATAAACTCGTTAAATTTCTTTGAAAACACATAACTGAAAGTTTTTATTTTATTTCTCAATATTATTGTTTTATTTTATCCTTTTTTTTAGTTCCCTGTTGGCATCACTAATTCCCACCCCCTCTCCATATTGAAACTGGAATAACAGCTGCGCTAAGAGAGCGGCCATCCATCCTGTGTCTCTCTTAAGTTCTCTTACGCGCACAGCTGTTGTGGCAGTTTGGCGCCAAAAAGTTACACTCTCACTGGAAGTTAAGAGGGAATGACTCTCTTTGACTGGAAATTCTTAAGACTTGGTATCAGGACTTAATTATTGTTGTTTACTATTTTGTGTCCCTTGACCTTGTTTTTGCATTTCCTACATTTTCTATTTCCAAATCGAAGTTTAATTCCATTGCCAAATCAATTGATAACGATAACTGCCCCTCGATCGTCTCGCATATTGATCCAATCGCTGGGAAATTAGCATAAATTCTCCAGCGCCGTATTTGCAAAAACGTAACATAAAACTTTCGATCATTTAAGGCAAATCAACAAGAAAATTAGATTTTGGCTTTGGTTATTTTCGGCTTTTTGGCCATTCGCACGTTTGACCCCCTTCAAGGCGATCGCTTTTGGCCAACCAGCACTCATGTCCAATACCAATGCGGCTTGAAATGGGGTTGGGCTAACGATTGAATTATTTTGCAACACTGAGAGAAATGTTTGGGGCTTTAAATATTGTAGAAAAATATCTATAAATTTATACTAATAATTTATGTATTAAAATAAAAAACCTTATTATTAACCTAAGTTATTCTTCATATATTTTCCCTAAGAAAGTTGATAATTATGTTTGTTTTATGATTATTTATTTAAATTTTTTAAGCTTTTAATTTCCTTCCTTAATTCCGGATATCAAATCCTAACCCTAAGCGGTACCTCTGACAATTAAACAAGCCTTTCAGACCCCATTTCCAATCAAGAAACCCGGCTCAAATCGAGAGATCCATAACGAAGACCTTCGCATTCCGACGCATCCGTTTCCAGTATCTGTATCTTTTTGTTCCCTGTCCCCTGTCAGTTGGTTAAGATATCGATATGTGCGCATATGTATAAATATATATATATATATAGAGCAACAGTCCCATATCGATTTCAAACAGGAACAGAAAATAATTAAGTTCTCAAAAGATAAAAATCATGTTAGCTGCAGATCAATTAGTTGATTTTTACCATAACCCAGGCATATATCAATTTTTGTTGTTCACCTCCTCATCTGCCTCCTCCTACGACTACGTGGTGTGCCCGAGGTGACGCCCCCGCCGCCACCACAACCGCACACCCCTCCCAAACACCACACACCACACACACACCTCGCCCAGTCTCACCTGGAGAGTGGCCAGGCTTAGTGCATAAATTTACATATGAGAATGTCTGGAAATGCTTTTTGAAGGCTGTTGAAATGTGGCTGCAGAGTGGGTAACCGAGTGGGTTAAGTGGTGGGGGAGGGGTCTGGGCTCCTCGAGAGGTTTCTCCTTGGATGTAGCACCTGCTTTTTTTTGAGCCTGGAGCAAAGATACTCGGAGTGGCCGGAGAAGAAGGAGCCTTGCGAATGGAGGCTGATACTGGACATGCACATGCTCGGACGTCAGTAACTCATTTATCGCTTAACTGGGACTTCCCCCCTCCTAACTTCTTTTCATGCACAGAGAAAAATAAGTCCTATCATGTTCTTTTGTATCTAAACTCTATAGTAATGTGACCAAATTACAAAAACCCCATACAACAAATATCCTTATTTTAGACATACTTTCGAAAGCAAGGTCACACTAACCAGGATATGGAAAAAAGTTAAAGGAAATTATTATTTAAATTTGCTGCTATTCCTCTATTTAAAAATTCTAAAAAACAAATCATTTAATATATCTTTTTGATCCACATTTCTTCCCAGTGCACTGACCGTCTCTGTTACGATTTCTTTGGCTTCATTTTGCTTTATTTTGACAACGAATTTGCATGCGCTGAAAATTGTGTTTTGAGGCTTGTTAATTTTGACTAAAGTCGCTGCAGTTACGTGCTGCGTTCAGTTCGATTCTGTTCCCAATCCAAATCCCAGATCCCAGAGTTTTGCGGCCCATTGCGTGACTGACCCAAACCGAGAGACTTACGCATGCGCGCGCTTACAAACGCCAAGCCGAGTTTCACAAAAAAACACAACAAAAATTAAAATAAAGAAAAAAAAAAACAACTAGTACGAAAAAAAAAAACAAGTTAAATGTGAAACAAGAACCAAAACAAAGTGTTCGATGTTTCCGTTTCAAATTCAGTGGAAGAAGACATTTGCTAAGACCTTAAAGTCTCGAAGATCGTTCCATTGTGGGACCAAGTCCCAGTCCAAGGGGGACGTACAGTGGGACCGCTGGACAGAGACAATTGGCGCGCAAACAATTGTTCGGTTCGTTCTTTGGCTCTGACTTTGGGTCTCCGCTTCTTTGGACATACTAAGAAAATAAAAACAAGTTCGGTATTTGGCTTTAAAGCAAGGCTAAACAGCTAAGATGGGGAAAAGCTTCCACGCGAACGAGATGGCCTAAACAGTGGGTTACAATTTGGAAAGTAATGGGAAATATAATGTTATGGGAAACTGGGAAATAAATGCGTTTGTTTCATTTAACGATAAATTATTGTTTTTGTTTTACTGTAAACAGCTAAAAAATAAAGTTAATATCTTATTGTTTTGCATTTTAAAGGAGAGCAGGTTGAATAAATTCTTGGTTTTCGACATTTAAAAACATTTTTTAGACTTTTAAGTAGTTCTTAAACCCCATAAGATGTTGAAATATAAAATGTAAAAATACTTTTGGTGAAAGCTTTTCAATAATTATGTAAAATAATTGTTCTAGGTCTCTTTAATTCTCTTGTTTGTCTTGCATTATATCCAACCGAATTTCAGACCTTTTAAGAGCTATTAAATGTCTCAGAGTATATTAAATAAAACCCAAATTTTATCCCACTGTTCACATAGCGCTGTTCCAGCAACTTGGCGATTGTGCCGCAGATAAAAGAAAGGCACTTGAGCATTACATTGGCCAAGTCAGGCAAACCCTGCTCTTCAGTTTCTCCATGGCTGGAAAAAAATGCAAGCAAAATAAAGTCGGCGTGGAAAAAGTGCAAGGGAATTAACAATTCATTTTTATTGTTAAGTATGCTCTCGGCCGGGAACCCAGGAACCCAGCTCTGGCCTCTGTTTCTTTTAGACCATCTTGTTAGGCCCTGGAGCCTCCCGTCCTCCTAGTTAATAATGCGATAATTTCAGTTTCATTCAAAGCAAATCGAAGGCAGCAAAAGCACCAAAAGGGGCAGCTACCGGATTACGAGACACAAAAAATAAACATAAAAAAAGAGTCCGCTTGTTGCTGGATTTCTTGGCGTGTTGCGGCAACATGTTGCAAGGGATTCCTCCTCCTTTTTATGGAGAAAAAAAAACCTGATGCATGCGCAAAATTTAAATTATGTTGTTTTGTCGCATGTTTTCTCTCTGCTTCTTTTGCCTGAGCTTTGTCGTTGTTGGAGTCTTTTTTAATGTTTTTTTTTTTGTTTTGTTTTTGTTCTTTAGGCATTATCAATGAATAAATGAAAATGTCTGTTGTCCAGAGGGAAATTGTTGTTGCTGCTCCTGCTAGTGGCATGCAACTGCAAAACGCTTAACATCTTCTTTAAGTCGCTGTTTTATGTCACAGCCAACTGTCATTTGTACATTGAATTTGCGGTCTCCTCTGCTCCTCTTCTCCTCTTCTCCTCTTCCCTCCTTCACCTCCCTTCCCCGGCTGCCAATTCGATTTGCATAAAATCACAGGAAGCACTTAGGATTAATAGCGAGCGGCCAAAGTGTCGTTGTGGGTTAAACATTTTTGTATCGGAAAATTGATTCAATTTGCGTTGAGTTTCTTACCTTATTCTGATTCGCGGCTAAATTGTTGTAATCCATGTAAGTTATTCGCTTTTGTTATCCATTTACAGCGGGGTTAATCCAAACAAAAAAAAAAATTGCACTGCAAGGAAGAAAAAATAAGATTAAATGTTAAAATGTTGCTTAGGAAATGTTGCTTGGTAATCATCGCCTGGCGCCATCTATGGGCAAGTGGCCGAAGCGCTTATGTAAAATTATGAAAAATGGGAATTTTAAGGGGAAATTTTGTTGTTTTATTTTTTCATATGTTTTGGGTACTATTATTTAATAATAATAATAATAATTTTAAGTATAATAAGCAATATTAAAGGAATAAAAAGAAGTAATAATAAAAATCTTGTTTCTATATATTATATTATATTAGTTCTTGTTTTAAAACTGAAATAGTTGCTTTCCCTAAGCTGAGTAATACCGGTAAAGTATTATAATTCTTTCTAAATATATAAGTAAGGAATAAGCATTCGTTAGAATGAAATTCTTTTAATTACTATAATTTAATTATATTATTTATTTAACATTTTTGTTTGGGACAATAAGAAGGCTAATAACGAACCATTCTCAACTGGAAAATACCCTTTATTTATAAATATATTCCAGCCTCTAAAAAAGGTACCAACAAATCTTGAATTATGAACATTTAATAATTATTTTAGCTAGAACTTTTCCTAATATCAAAATTAAAATAAAGAATCAAAGTAAATACATAAAAATTCCAAATACATATCCCTAAAACTCTCCCACACCAATTATTTCAATAGCCCGGCTATTTTGGCCAAGGTTCCTTCAGCCTCTGCCTCGCCACCAACTTTTGACATTTTCCCACCTTTTAATGTCACCGAAGTCGTCGGCTGGAAGCTGGTAGAAGCAGGAACCAAAATTGAAACCAAAACCAAACACCGATCGGTTCAAGCCGCCACAAAAAACGATTGCTAACAGCAGGAACAACGAGGAAGCCAATGGCCATGGCCAAAAGAGCCGGAGATCCAAAAGGGTCCAAAGACCAAGTGGCAGAGACTGTCAGGTTCAGTTTCAGTTAAAGTTTAAGTTCAGGCTGCGATCGGAGCTGCTGTCATATCCTTTTGCGGTAAACGACTGAGAAGAAAAAAGAGCGAGAAGAGATGTGGCAGGACGGGGGGAAGGTATATTTGAGCCAGCTTCTCATTCATTTGCGCCAAATGTCATTATTGTTGCTCGTTTGTTGTGGCCAGTGTCTGCCTCTGCCTCTGCCTTTGCCTCTCTTTTTTTTACTTTGTGGCATCTTCGGGTCTTTTGTAAAACTCCCTCGTTAAACAGATTATTTTCACACCCGACTTTGGCCAGTATAGCTGCCGACTGCTGCCAATTTGGTAAGTGAATTGAATGGGGCTCAAAGGAGTCGCGAGTGCAGTTCAAGCAGGCAAACAGGCAGTTCCTTGCAGGCGTTAATAATGCGATTTCAATGCAGTGGCAAGCACTGGGAAAAAATAGGTTAAATTACGTAAATTCATGGTTGAAAATGGCATTATTCAATATAATATAATATAGAATAATAGAGATTCATTGACGAAACCTTCCTCAAAAAAAAATATTTCAAGATAATTATTAAAATGAATTAAAGTTCACTCATTACATTTTATGCAATCTATCACTTCAGTCTTTAATATCTATTATAATAATTACTATTATATTTTAAATTATTTTCTAGTTTTTTTTTTCTCCGTGTGAGCCAAATTCAAAGCCACTCAAAGTGCGAAATGTTTTTTGTTTATATATATGTATTTTTTTAAGGGATTCCTTATGAAAGCGACAGAAGGAGTGACACATGTATGCACCTGGTTTAGAAGGTTGCGGTGCCAACAATGGGCAGGCTTTCGATTTTGGCTTCGAATCCGTTGATTGTTAATTGCACAAGGAAGCCCAAAGGATTGTCTGAGCCTCGGGACTTTAGTTTTTGTTGTGAGGTGAGATTTTTTTAGGTTGATGGTGGAGATTAGATTGAAAATGATGATTGCTTATTCTTCCTTGAAGAATAACAATAAAAGGGGGTCTAGGTTATATGCAAGAATATTTATTAAATATTAAAGAAGAATGAAGAATTTCATTAAATTGAAAATGAAAGTTTTATATATAATGTTAAACCTCTCTTCATGGAGGTATTTAATTATTGAGTTAGTTAGTTTTTGGTTTTGAATGCCTAAAAAAAATAGATAATATCAATAAGTATCAGAAAATATGTTTTTTTTATAGATATTTCAGAAATTTTAAATATACAAAATATATATTAAATATAAAATAATAAATATATTATAATAAATGTATAATATATAAGAATAAAAAGATAACTATAAGTTGGATTTTAACAATAAACTATTTAAAATATCGATTTAATTATCGATCTTTGTCTTTAATATCGATACATTACTAGTATATCGTTTATTTTCAACTGAAAAACTTTCACTAGACTCTCATATTTTGCCTAAAAATGTTACAATTTTCTAAAATTTCTGTAATAGCTGATCTCATTTATATCCTATCCCATTTGGTAATCAAAGTAATCATTGCCAAAGAAAGTGAACGCTCTTATTTTATAGATCTCCAAGATCATAACCCACCTCCCTCCCTGTCCCCCCTTTTAGCAATCATTTCGCACCCCAGACTTGAAGGTATTCGGCGCAAATTATTCGAAATTATTTTGCGGACACGCTCTGTCTCACGTAGGCACTCGCAAAGAAAAAAAAAAAAAAAGAGCTGAAGAAGCGTGCAAGCAAACCCTTGGAATTTAAAAACAATTTATATCACTCAAGGAGGAGCAGAGGGGGACCACCTAGGCGTAACTGTACCCAAATTCATATGCATAATTTTGCGCTATTTGTTTTGATCGCAAAAATATTTCAGCTCGAACGCTGCGTAATTGTTGAAAGTCAGCAAAGGCAAAGTCAATACTATTTTTTTTCCTATATTGTTTATAGGGATGAGGGGTAGGTGTGTACTGACACGTGAATGACAGATCAGACAACCAACTCACGCCCAACATCAGCAAAACATCCATAAATATTTTTGTCATTTAGCTGACGGTGGAAGCGGCACTCGATGCGATTTATGGCCAAGAGTCGTAAAAAACCGTAAAAAGCCTTCCCCGCCCCACACACAGCCTCGTTGGATCGTAAAATTAAACAGCGAAAATAGTTTTTTGGCCGCTTAAGTCACAGTTTGTGATCGAAATATTTAATTAATTGGTGGAATCCCTCGATCGATCGATCGATTCGTGGGTGGCCCGCCCAGCCCCGAATTTGGAGTGCGTTCGTTTGATTTATGCAGACAACGCGGACACATTTAATGAGTGGCATTTGAATGCGTAGTCGCTGGTTCACAGACTCAACAAAAAAATCAAATTCTGCACTTGTCGCTAAAAATAAAAATAAAACAAATAAAAATAGACAGAGGGGAAGCGCGGCCTTTGCAAATATTCAATGTTTTGGTGATTCCCCTAGTGTTGTGCTGGCGCCATCTGACGTTAGGCGGCAGAACCAAGTAAGAGAAAGTTCGGAGAAAGGATATTTTTTTTATTTGGTTGTTGTCTCCGCTAAAGGATAACTGGGTGAGTCCTTATTTCGGAGTTGAAGGATCTGTATTTTTTCAAGCTTTTGCTGCAAGAACTTTTCTGTTGGAAATTTATTTTGCCAGTTTGTTGGTGTTTCCAAAGCTCAGGACATTTTTTTGTTAGGAAAAAAAGCTTTTAAAGGTAATTTAAGGATACAGGACATGAGGATTATGTAAATTTACATGGAAACTTTTTTTACATTTTCTTTTTGAACTACCATGGAAATCATATTTTCTTTTATGTTAAAATTTTTCCTTTTAAATAAGGTATATAATAATAAATTGTCTAGCATTATTATTAATTTAATAAAAACGTTGAAAGTTAAGAAACTATTTCATATATTATAATACTATATTATTTTAAAATAACGAATATGTTAATATAGTAAAATATTAATCAAAGTTATTTTATAATTTATTCTAAGATTTTAAAAATGATTTCCCTACTCTTATTATGCTTTATATAAAATTTAAAACTCAATTTACTCAACAACAAACAGGTAAACAATTAAAATATAATAAATAAAAACGCTAAACAGCTTAATAAAAATTCAAATCAAAATCAAATTGTCTTTTAACCACCATCTTCATCATCATCATGCAAATCAACAGATTTTTGGCTAATAAAAAATCAACAAATAAGACAAAAATCAAGCTGTACAAAGGTAATGTGAATATTTTGTAGACAACAACCGAACATATTCAGAAATGAAAACGCAGACAAAGGCCACACACAGTCCACAAAAGTGAGAAAAAACAAGCAAAAAAATATATAAAAACAAAATAAAGATATAAAAAATAATCTGAAAACATCACAGCAAAACGTAAGACAATAAAAAGTAAAGTTCCTTTTAATTTAATGACAGAGCCGACACTTAATAAACCATAATCTCATCATAACCAGAGGGGTTGATCTTGATCTTCAAGTGGAACTAACTCCAAGGCTTTCCTTTATTTATTTCTTTATTTTATTGCATGATTTCATATTTTATATCATATTTTTGCTTTGTCGCAAAACCAGATTTGCATTTTGATGAATTGCAGTCGAAAGATGAAGAGCCAAGCTGAAGTAAGTCATTTTTTCGTGACATTATCTTGAAATGTCGGTGAGGAAGATCGAGGGTCTACTATATAGTGCTCAAAGCAACTCGTGTGCTTCTGGTCTCTTGTGTGACTTGAAATTTAAATTAGCCTTTGTCTTTTTTGGTTTTTGTTGACTCTTCTTCAGCTAAGAGTAATTATTTTTTCATTTTGCACAACAAAAACCGAGTTAGCTTTGGTTGAATGTGAGTTATTGTGTAAATTAAAATGAACGATGTGTCGGTAAGGTCGCCTTTTGTTGTCGTAGCGCCAACGATGTGCCTTCACCCCCCCTTGAACCTGAAGTGCTATGTTTCTGGCGATTTTTTTCTATATTTCTTTTTTAGCTTTTTCCTCCTATTTTGTACTCTTTTTTTTACCATATCTTGCTTGGCGCATAGTACATG